TTTACTTCTTGGCAAAGAAGTAAATACATTTTGTAAAATACAAATGTTTGATGACTTTAGATGTTATGCACCATATAACGGATATTCGAGATAACGGAAACCAATAAAAACTCGATATAGAGTATTGAGATTCAGAACAGATTATAACAATATAACGGATTTCTTATTTCTTTGAAAATTTTCACCTACGGAATGGACGTTTTCATCCCTTTTTTAACAGTTGTCAAATTTGTAGAGCGCCTTTAAGTCTTTAATTTCGTGTACAAATTGAATTATACTGTTCTCATTTTATTCCGCAAAGTTCGGATTGATAATGTGCCACTTCGTTTTGTTAACTAGCGTGTCATAACCCCCCCCCCCCCCCTTGGATCGACGAATCATCAAAATAGAAATTTGCTTTAAAAATTATATAAATTTCCCATTGAAAACCAACAGCACGAGCGCAAATCTCGTGTCATATTCACTGTCTTCTATCGATTGCAGTAGAATATAAAATCGCCATCATCGGCGGCGTCCAATAACGTTTGGAGAACCGAAACTACTTGTTGACCAACTATACGACATCGAGTCGAGTTTCAGTATCAGATAAACTGGAAATCATCGAAATCATCTAAATTAGTCTCGTTGAAAACAACACTTGGATTTCTGCGGTTATTTAAAATAATGATGACTATATTTATTCTAATTCACCAGATTATTTATAACATATGAATTGGTTCTAATATAATTAAAACGGTCATAGAAAAAACTACGGCATTAAAAAGTTATTGCAATGTTTTTTAAAAAATGCCTTTGGCATTGATGTGCTTAATGGCTTTCTTTTTAGAGGTCATAGGGATAGCGATAGAAAGTTGTGTTGCATCAGCCTTAATTTTGTTGTTATCTTTATGAAACTAGCACTAGAAGCATGCATTCCGCACTATAAGTTTTTTTCTTTATAAAAAAATGTGTTTTGATTTGAATTGAATAAATTATTTGGCGACGTTTCTGTGTTAATAATTTTAATATTCTGATTACTACTACAAAGTTTATAAAATTACACTTTTTATATGTCGATATTTACCTTGTCTGTTAACAACTAAAGTATTCCGTAAGACCCTATTGAGAAAGGATTGCTGTTGTTTCTTAGCATAGTTTTGACTCGAGCTGTGAAAACAACATTCTGAGTATCGATTTCCTTAATCAAAGGAAATTTACATATCTCGACAATCGCATTATCAGTATCGTCAATATCGTTAATATTGTCATCATCCATCTCTATATTGTTAACAGGATGGCCTTTTGTTAGCCATACTATTTCAAGATATGGGTATTGCAATTTTACGTTAAAGTAAAGAGTCGTGATACATTTGTGAATTGTTTCGATTGCTTTTTTCATGAATTTGGTTCGTTCTCCGGAATTAAACGAAAATACTTTTTCCATTTCGCTTACAACTAATTCGCAGATTGACTTGAATAGCTGAGAATTTTCAATATCAAATTTGCGTGAACTCAACAGATTATAGATTTGTTGTTGAATTTTGAACATTGTGATATTGACAAATTCATTTCGTATGGGATGAATTTTCCCAAAAGTTTCAATGTTTTCGGATATTGTTTGCATTGATTTGATGAGCATTTTATCCACTTGTCTTTCATTTTTCACCGCATGACTTGTCGTCTCCAGTTCTTCTTCGAATGCGACCGACTCTTCAAAGTGTTTTTTTAAATACTCCAAAATCAATTCAATAATGTGACGTTGCATAACAGCGCTGATGAGATTATTTGGAAACTTTTCATGAGATTTATATTTCAACTGGTATTTATCCAAGAGATTTTTCACCCCTTTTTTATTGACATCACGTTTTTTCGTGGTTGTCAAAGTTTCTAGAGCATCTTTTAGGTCTTCAATTTCGTGTCTGAGCTTTACTATACTGTTTTCATCTTGCAGATTTTTTATTCCACCAAGTTCGGATTGATAATGCGCTGCTTCTGATTTATAATCCGTAACTTGTTGTTGTAACTTTTCCATCTGCTCTTTATAAAAGTTGATGTTCTTCTTGAAATCAGTTTCGGATTGTTCATATTTTATCATCCAAGTTTGATTAATTTTTGACAATTCGGTAACTTGACTTTTTAATTTTGCGTTTGCTTGTTTAATCGTTTTGAGTTCTTCCTCCAAGTCTTGTTCTCGCATATCCGAAGTATCATCCGATTTGTTTTGTCCAATATTAAAGTAATTCATCACTGTTTCGGCAAGAACAATGTAAATTATTAAGGACAAATGAAAAGATTACCAGATGCAGATAACGATAACATTGTTTACGGTACGTATTATTATTATTATTATCTAACGCTAATAGTAATAATAGTCATTACGTTATGTTACTATCGCCATTATTGTGATACATCATGGGATTTACATGCACATGTAATATGAAGAACTTCCCATGCTGATTTTTCATTTGTTCGCCTAAATAAAGTAGAAACTATAAAATTTATATCTAAACCATATTCCGACAAAAAATTTTGTTAGTCAAAACTAATAGAAATGACAACTCCGCAAGATATTCGTATTGTTGTAGCAATTGGTATTTGAAATCAAGATATTTTACTTTTCTTTAATGTCGATAATTAAATAACGCTAACGCTAATCTATAATCTACATGACATAGATTTTGGCACCACTTTTAGTGGCTTCGCATACAGCCATATCAATAATCAAGGTTCTTTTGAAGGCATTTCATTGAAAAATCAATGGTAATGTTGGCAAACATTTTTACCGACAATAATCCCGAATAATAATTGACTTTTTAACTAGGCCTGGACGAAAGAAAAATAGTGTGATAGTACAATACAAAGCAAACACGTTGCTTCAATATGATAATGAATTGAACTTAATGAATTGGGGATGTGGCGTGGTTGCAGAGAAAGGAAATTTCAAGGGAAAAGAAGCTCCAGAGAAAGAATCAATGGTTGCTAAATTGTTCAAATTGTATTTAGCAAATTTAAATGATCCGCCGCCATTGCCAGAGGGACTGGATTATAGACAAGCCATCATAGAATATTTAACGAAATTAAAAGAGGTAATTAATCTTCTTGGATATTTAATTTCATTTTCAGAGTCTAAGTTAATTTTTCTTTTCATAGTTAATTATAGAATCTTGTGATAAACGTTGGCCTGGATTACGATTTCCTGAACAATTTCGAATAGTTTTTTCGGTGCCTGCAGAATATGGACTAATTCAGAGATACGTGATGAGACTTTGTGCACACAATGCTGGTCTATTAGAAAAGGAAGATTCAGCAAACTTGGAATTCACAACAGAATGTGAGTTCTGAAATATCTAATTTTCTTTAAAGCTTAATTTCTAATCGTCTTTTATTTCTTAGCTGAAGCGGCCGCGCTTTGGTGTCTGAAACATGCAGATCAATATGAGTTACGAGAAGGAGGTATGACTTTAAAAACGCAAAAGTAAAATACAACGTGAAAATATCATAGTTTAATAATCAAGCTTTCATTTATAGATTCTTACCTTGTTGCGGATTGTGGCGGCGGCACAACCGATCTTGCGATTTTTTCCATAACTAATAAAGGTAATAATTGAGCATATCGACACGTTTCTTGCTGTACATCTAAACGATCTCTTTTTGGATATTTTCAAGATAAGCTAGACGAAATGACTGAACGTTCTGGTGCAGCTTACGGCGGATCATATGTCGACCAAAGATTCGTAAAAGAACTTGAAAACCGTGTAGGCAAAAACGTGATAAAATACTTGTGTCAAAAATATTTTTCGCGTTACCTCCATTTAATGGACTATTTTTGCCACCACATAAAATTCGGCTTCACTGGCATCGAAGAAGATTTCGAAGATATAGAAATGGATATCGACGTGGTTTGTCCGATGATAAAGAAATTCGTCGAGAAAGAAAAGGAAGCAAAATTAGTGGAAGACGAATGGATAATCACTTTTGATTTTAACGATATAAAACAAATGTTTGATCCGTCGATTAACCAAGTCATCAAGTTGATTGATGAGCAAATTTACAAATCGAAAGATGAACGATCGATAAAGTATATTTTCCTGGTTGGTGGATTTAGCGAGTCGCCTTACCTGCAGAAAGTAGTTCGAGACTATTTCGAACTAGCGGGTCAACAAAAAGTCGTTATTCCTTCTGAGCCACTTACTGCCGTATTAAGAGGAGCAGCTTATTATGGTATAATTTGCAAGAACTAATTTTTTTAAAATATGTGTCTGAATTTACTGAATTTACACTTTTAAACAGGGTTAAATATGGGCGTATTAAAAATGCGAGTTCTAAAAAGAACTTACGGCCTAAGAGTAACACGAGTCTGGGACGAGCTAAAAGACTCAAAAATTTACAAAAATGATGACGGTACTGTATACGGATTTGATAAACTCGTTACGCGTGGCGAAAAAATTCCAGTCGATCACAAGGTGACACGTGAGTATATAGCACCGAAATCAAAATATTCGGGAATAACTTTTCGTGTTTTCATGTCAAAACTCGAGGATCCAGAGTATATTTATCAAAAAGAGGTAATTGCGGTGGGGAATGTTTCGATTGTTATTCCTGAAGAAGATCTTGTGCCTGATCGAAAAATCGAGTTTTCGTTGACCTTTGGATCTTTTGAAATTAAAGCCACCGCAAAAAAACATAATAAAACATACGAGGCTTTTTTCGTATTGGATACTTGATTTATTCCACGATAATACAACAGTAGTATTTATAACATTATTAATGATGATTTTTCATCTTCATCTTTATTAAACTTCATTTCCATGAGTTATCGTTTTACATGTTCAATCACAATATTGCAAACTTTTAAATTTTTTTATCAACTATTATTCATTGTAAAGCCATTACCTTGTTCTTTAAATTATCAAAGTAAAAGTAAATTCACTATTGAAATATATTTTATTGAACGCTCATGAAATAAATTCATACATTATACGTATTTCCGTCGCTAAGCCAACTTGATACATGAAGATTAGTAATATCGATATCGTTAACGCTGTAAATAAGCGTAATATTGTGTTTGAAGAGTTGGTTTCGCAAAAATATTGTTGAAAAGTAATGTTAGATTATTCAAATAAAGTTTATAGTTATTTAAGTTATAAGATATTATAATAATAATAGAATAATAACGATAAGTGTATATTTATTAAATAAACCAGTCTTTTTGAACTGATTTATAAGACCATTTAATAAACTTTAAAAAGGAGGCAAGACCAATCTTTTTGGGCTAGACTAAGCCAACCCTTCCAACACTAGGCAGTCGACCCAAACTCCCGAATAAATGCCCTAAACCCCATCCATGGGTAAAGGAAGTCCGTTGACAGTTGGCAAGAGAAATGTGATAAATGACGCAAGTGGTTGTAATGTTTAAGATTCATTTATTGGTGGTGAATTAAAAACATTAACGTTATTGTTATAAAAAAAAAATACGATACGATAAACTTATCATTCTCATTGTAACACCAACACATAAATCTCCACATAACTTCATAATTCCGCCCAAAACCCCTAATTCCCGTTTAAATGATCAAGAAGGATTTATCGGAGAATCCTATCGCCGGAATTTCTAGCCGACTCTAACCCATCCATAACCACAGGTAAACTAGTCGCGGATAAAGGAAATCCGTTGACCGTTAGCAAGAGAAATAGTATAGATAACGCAAGGAAACAGTCGTAATGTTTAAGATTCATTTTTTGGTGGTGAATTTATGAGTTTGCTTGTTTCATTGAAGAATTTGTAAATTTTAATTAATAGATCAATATTTATCCAACAAATTTTTAGAAACATCCTGATTTGTTAGTAATTCCAAGCGTCACTATGAGGTTTTTTTACGTGTATTCTATAATCTCTATGATGTGCGTATTCATTGAAGTATGCTCAGCCTGTCTATGATATCTGCAGAGAAACAGTAAGGTAAAACTCACACTTTTATGTAGAGATGACTTTTTGTTCGCTTTTTGAAAAATAACTACTGTCCTGTATTAAAAAAAACTCGATTGTTTAGAAATTTTTCGTTATACGTATATGTACGGTCTATTCTAACTACATGTAATGTATGCTTGTATGATGAGAATTCACTCAAAGATGTACAGTACATATGTACGCCAATTTCTATGGAAATTGTAATAATTCAAAGATATACAGTCAAATCCATCTATAGTCACATCCTAATTTAATAAAATTAATAAAAGAATAAAGTAAATGATAAAAATGATAAAAAATAATAATAAATAATAATAAATAATAAAAAAATAAAAAGTAATTGAAAATAATAAAAGATAATCAAAAATAATCAAAAATAATCAGAAAATGATGAAAAGTAATTAAAAATAATGAAAAATAATCAAAAAATGATAAAAAGTAATTAAAAATGATGAAAAATAATCTGAAAATATGAAAAGTAATTAAAAATGATAAAAAATAATTAGAAAATAATAAAAAATAATTAAAATAATGAAAAATAATTAAAAATAATGAAAAATAATCAGAAAATAATTAAAAATGATGAAAAGTAAAATAAAATTGAGAAAATAATTTAAGAAATTTTTGTTATTATATGAATATTTTTGGATATTTCATGTTTTTTTCAATTATTTTTGGAATTAATGAATTTTATGTTATGATTATAACAGTACTTTTTATTCAAGTGATTGCAAGAAATAATCATGTTAATGTTAACATTTGTTTTTTTATATGCACTGTACATGTACAGTCAAATCTCTTTATAGTCACTCTCAGGAAAGCAAAATTTGGTGACTATAGAGGGGTGTGACTATAAATAGGTGTGACTATAGAGAGGTTTGACTATATTAACATATGCATGAACATTACTATTGTACATTTATAATTTATAGAATAAATGGAAAGTGTTATCAGTAACTTTAAAAAATATAAATGGTCATTTTCGTGTTGTCTTTTTCGTTTAATACGTATGTTTGCAAAATTGTCGTCGTTAACTTGCTATGTTTATTAAGTAGAAATTTTGAGTTTACATTAAAGAAAAATTCTGCCACTGTTCTGACTAAATTTTATTCACCTGATTGTTTGTCATCTCGTATTCACAGGTACTCCTTCAAACATTGAAGGCTATCTTTATCGTTATGCGTTCCGTCTCATTTGTCATACATAGAAATTCAATGAAGACATCAATCATACCGATGCGTCATTTTCATAACACAGAAATCGGATCATTCAGTGTTAAATAAAACATTGCAAACGACATTTTATGATGTGAACTCAAAGATGGATTCTAATACTCACGGTTGGTCAGTTCACAATACTCATTATTGTAGTAAATGTACTGATTGTCAAAAAAATAAGACCTGCTATTCATATTATGAATATCACAAACGAATTTATATAGGTGAATAGTCTAGCGAAGATAAAGATATCCAATAAAAGAATGCACGAATGCAATTAATTGTAGACGTTTTGAATGGCTCACTTTTGAAAGATTTACCAAAGAGGTTTTGGAACAATTTACTTGATTAAATGTTCAAATGCGGCAGTTTTAATGATGTAAATCATTATCTTTATCGTTATCTAAATTTCAAAGCATAACTTTTTTTACCTGTGATAACATTTGGCTTAACGTTAGCAAAAGAATATAATTTCGGTAAATTCGGTTCGATAACGGTTTGTAAACAATCTGACCCGATCCACAAGTAAGATCATGAAGAAAATAAATTCAAACGAAGGGGAGGACGCAAAGTTGTGTTGATTAAATTAGAGTTTATAAACGAGGTAAAATAAACCATTTCTAAAGTGTAAGCATGATTCTTTTGTTTTCTAATACGATCAGGTTTTACAGAAATAGATTCTTATCGTTATGGAATAACTAATGCAAATGATGGTGATCTTCGCAAATACATGTATACAGTAAAAAAAAACAGGCAGAGTGTGCACTTAGAGATTGTATGCATTTATAGAGAGTAATATATAAGTGTCTTATAACTTGGAACCAAGTCATACCGTGCATTTAGAGAGAATTTATATAGTGCGTGCATTTATAGAGAATGTACTTGGAGAGATTTTACTGTATATCGATATCTCTAGTTTGGATTATGTGTCATGTGTGACGCTTATGCGCCACGATCACTAAACGTGCCATTTATCACCTGATTTTTACCGACACAAGAAAATTAAAAATGAAATATACAGAAAATGAATGCTTAAATCTATCTTGAAGCACTAATAAAAAATGTCAGGAAAGCAATTTTACATATAATATTGATCTCCACTCTAACCCTAACCCTAACGCTAAAATTAACCTTTAATATTCTCAACAAATCAGAACTTGAAGAAAAATTAGCCCGTAACCAATAAATTTAATTTACTGTATTCTTCCAGAAATACAGTTCCTGACAAAAGTATTTTCACACCAATAATTTTGATAGATCATATATAGGTTCCTGAAATTTTATATGCATATAATACATCACATTGATATCTTTTTATTGATTTGTAAACTTTTGCATTTCAAATATTATCAATCATTTCATAACACACATCCTAATATCCAATAATCTAATTCTTGACATCCAGTAATCCGATTTGAATAAAAATATAACTGTTTGATTCATTTTGACTAGACTAATCGAATGGTAGTATTTTTATTCAAATCAGATTACTGGATTAGTGATTGGACTCAAATCAATTCATTTTGACTCAAGTTAAGTCAAGTCATAATTTTTCTGACTCAAAAAGTTCACAAGTCAGAATATAAGTGAAAATACAAGTTGACTCGAGTCAGATAATTCAAGTCAAGTAATTTACAGTGATTTATACATATAATAAAACATGAAATTAACTTACTAGAATTTTTATTTTCATAATTATTAGTTCAAACAAAAATAAAAAAGTGTTCATTTGAAATCTTGAAATTACTAATATTTTTTAAAAATAATTTAGCAACAAATCATTTTGTGAAATAAAATGATTTAAATTAAAATTTACAATTAGTAAATTTCTCATGTTAAAGAACTTTTTTCTATGATGAATTCAAATTTGAATCACTAATTAAAAATGTTCTACTCTATAAAATCTACCTATTTATCAATTTTTATAAAAGATTTGAGATTCTGAAGGACTGAATCTATATTATAAGTATTAATTTATATATTAATACTTATAGTATAGATTTAGTATTAGATCTTAAATATTTATAAAAATTTTATGAAAATTGATAAATATATAGATTTTATTAGTAGAACATTTTTAATTAGTAATTCAAATTTAAATTTGTTATAGAAAAAAAGTTTTTCAATATGAAAAATCTACTAATTATAAATTTTAATTTAAATTACTTTATTTTACAAAATAATTTGTTGCTAAATTATTTTTAAAAAATATTAGTAGTTTTAAAATTTCAAATAAATACTTTTTTATTTTATTTGAACTAATAATTATGAAAATAAAAATTTTAGTAAGTTAATTTTTGTGTTTTATTACATATATAAATTACTATATAACTCAAATCAAACTTAACTTAAGTCAGAATAATTACTCAAGTCAAAATATTGCAGACTTAAGTCAAAAAAATTATGACTTGAGTCAAGTTTGACTTGAATCAACTTGAATGTGAGTCTAATTACTATACTGAATGTCAAAATATTATATATTAAAGTGACTAATTCATAATTTGATGATTGTTAAAAAATGAACAATCAATTTAGGATATTTTATCTTGATCTCCTGTAAATCCTATTTGAACAAAAATAATACTATTTGATTTATTTAGTTAAAATAAATTAAATGGTATTATTTTTATTTGACTCAGATTATGAAAGATTGTGATATCATGTTTTAAATTGATCGATATAATATTTTGACATTCAGTAATCTGATTTGAATAAAAATACTATTATTCGATTAGTCTAGTCGAGGCAAATTGAACAGTTATATTTTTGTTCAAATTAGATCAATGGATGTCAAGAATCAGATTATTGAATATTGGGATGTGTGTTATGAAATGATTGATAATATTTGGAATGTGAAAGTTTACAAATCAATAAAAAGATATCAATGTGATGTATTATATGCATATAAAATTTCAGGGACTTACACATGATCTATCAAAAATTATCAGTGTGGGGATACTTTTGTCAGACACTGTAAACACTATCCCAATTTTGCTGGCATAACAAGAATTCATTTTATTAGTAATTATTAATTAAAAAACTACCCATAAATAAACACCACCCCCTCCCATTTTGGAGTCCAAACTTTCTGAAAGAATATGGTATTACGAGTTACGTACAGTCAAGCCTCGATATAACGAAACCTGGATATAACGAAATCCTTGATATAACGAAAGAAAAAAAGACCTTTTGTTTTAAAATTACCTCTATATAGCGAAGTTTCATAAGGAAACTCGATATAACAAAAAAAAATTTCCAGCTCAAGAGGTTCGTTATATCGAGGTTTGACTGTATTTATTATTTGATTGGCTCATCAGCCATAATAGCCACACGATCGACATTAATTTGGCACAGCTACAACTAGCCACATTCACACCATAAAAATCAAATTGACCCATATCGAACAAACGAAAATTTCATTCGCAGAGTTTTTTCTTCTTAAATAAACCCATCAACACTTCAAACCCTATTAATTATGTATTAAACGAAGACTGCTATGCACAACCAAAAGTTGACAGCAATTATAACTTGGTAATTTACATTTTTCGGGTCTAATAAACAAAGTACTAACAGTAGCAGTTATGACCCATATTATCTTAATAATAAATCGCTATTTTATCTCCTCTTCCTCTAAAATGTGATGTAAAAATCATTCCTTGACATTTTACAAGCGCGTTTTGTGAACGTTTTGGGTTGGTATTTTCACTTTGACCTCGTTTCGTTCCCAAGCAAATGATGACTTAAAAGTCGATGGCGGTATACGTAAGTTTTCTTCTTCACAATAGCTTCTTCCTTGCTTTTGGTAGGGCTATTAATTATTGGATGTTCAGAAATATTTGCAGAAGACAATGACATACAGGTTGATTCAGAATCATCGCCATCAGGGACATACTTTTCAAGTAGGGCTGTAGGACCGGGTCCCAAGCCCGTCCTACTCTGGCCGATAAGAGTTCGGTCCTTTACTCTGGGTATTGGAGTTTTTTAGGTCCTAATCTCACGTGAAATTTTAATAGGACCGAGTTTCAAACTATAACTTAATACAGTCCCAAACCGTCCAATGGGGTTCGAAGTCCTATATTGTTATGATCAATTTCCGTTGGCTCGTTTAATGTTTCACTACCTATTTATAACTCTGAAACTAACTAAATTATATAAACACCGCTAACAGCCATATGATACGAAATTTACGCACTTGTTGGAGTCCGTTACAACCTTGCACGTAATTTCTCTGATAATTGAGTGAGGTAAATCGAATCACAGCAGCAAGCAAACATACGGTCATTATAACACGCCCAACGTATAATATCAGGTCTTTGTAACGTGATAATTTGAAACGACGTACTTCGTTATTATTGATTGTTTCCTTACACGCATACTCATCTTTGGCATTTCATTAAACCACAAATTTTTTCAAAGCATATTGTATCAAGCAATTAGCAGCTTGTTTTCAATCGAATTCTGGGAAATCAAATATGATAAAAGCGATTCGGTACTATAAAAAAATCCCATTATCGTTATGAATTTCAAAAAGTTGTATTTGTGGATTTATTTGGGTGACAGTTGGTTTATCGTTATCGTTATCAATTGTACTACCGCTACGTACAATTTTGGGACCGCTTAAAAAAACATAGATTCCCACCCAAAGTATTATTTACTAGCCATGTCGGAAATGAGAAATGTCGTAATATTTGGAATATTGGTTTGTCGATAAAGAATTCATATTCATATATTTTTTGCTTCGATGTATCTGAAACTTTGAACAGAGCTATATTCTTTTACTTTGATATTGTGGTTCACACCACCATATACATAAGTATAACAGCAGCATGTATCAAAATATAGCGAACATTTACGTTTATCAATTTATCTTATTACGACACTTCATTTATTATTTAAATCATTTTAAAAAAAAATCAAAATCAAACAAATAATACTAATGTCCGCTTCTAATTATTTACCGAGACTTTGCCATCATCGGCTTGGGAATCTATTAAGAAACTATTCAACAACAGCCAATATAAATATTACTGCTGCTACAAGAAATAGCTTTAAAATGGGAATAGAAGGATGTAGATATGTGACTTATTTACGGCGTTCCGATAATCCAGGTTTTTTATTTTTAAATGTAAAAATTTTCAAAAAAAGATAAATTTATACTATATTTTTTCAGGTCTTCGAATTAGTCGAATGCCTCCTGCTCAAACGAAATCTAAACCGTCACCAGCAGTAAACAATTCCAATACATCAGTGAATACACCAGTCACTATCACAGAGCATCCTGATAGTGTTTTATCGTATGCGAAAATACCCACGGGACTTGCTGCAATCCTTAGTAACTCGGCATTGGTGGTCGTGAGACAATTCGAAATGCTGAATATTTTCTTGGTAAGAATATAGTTAATTTCTTATTTATAAAAATACTCGTATTTCACACTATATAAAAAAAAAGGGCTTCGAGCAAGCAAATAAATATGCGCTTCATGATCCAGAGGGTAATTCAGTAGGATTTATTGCCGAAGAAGAGCAATCTTTTTCATCGACACTTTTCCGCCAATTATTTAGAACTCATCGACCATTTCGTGCAGTGGTCATGGATGCACAAGGAAATGTGGTATTAAAGGTTCAACGACCTTTTGCTTGGATTAATTCCAGGATTTTTATTAGTTCTGGTGATGACGAGCCGATTGGTGAGGTTCAACAACAGTGGCATCTTTGGCGTAGACGATATAATTTATTCATTGGGTGGGTCTTGTAAAAAATAACATTATCGATATATAAACTTTTTCGTATACATCAAGTTTATTCAAATTAAATGAATAGTGACACACAATTCGCAAGAATCGATGCACCAATATTGTCATGGAATTTCAATTTGGAGGATGAACATGGTGGAATTCTCGGGAATGTGAATCGAAATTTTACTGGATTCGGAAGAGAGGTGATTTTAGAATTTCTTAATTCGTTCTGTTCATATATTAAAATAAACCAATGCAAAAATAACTTATTTTTCATTACTTAGATTTTCACTGATGCAGGGCAATACGTAATTCGAATGGACGCGGCAGAAGGACACGTCCGAGGAATGACATTAGATGAACGAGCTGTCACAGTAGCTGCCGCTATTTCTATTGATTTCGATTACTTTTCTATTCATTCTAAACACGGGTAATTACGTATTGATTTATCGAGATTTCTGTATTTTTGAAAAAATCTGATTTATTTTCCATTTTTTCTTTTCCTTTTGTTTCTGTTTAAGACACTCCTTTCCATTTTTCATTCCGTTTATCGGAGGCGATGGAGATGAATTCGCAGAGGGAATCAACAATATTATTGCTATTGATCTTGTTCCCCGTCAAGAGCTCCTATCTGCTCGTGTTACACCTTATGAATCGCCTCTATTCAGAAACAGAGAGACTACCGATCTTATTATGGTCGTTTGACGATTGGTGATGATGAAATTCATATTTTTGACCTTTCTTTTAGGATGCATTTCAAATATTTAGTAATTGTAGTAATCGTGCCTTACATATTTATTCACACACATCATACATCGCCATATGTCATCTCGACGCCAAATACAGTAAAATAAGCATAGTTTAAATCCAGGAAAGTAAATTGAATCATCATTGATGATAGAAAAATATTACGTCAAATTCTCGTTTATTCTATCGAGACTAAACTCGATTACTAACCGTTCCCGCGCTCGCTTGATTTATTTGATTGACTAAACTCGATTACTAAACTTGATTTGATTGAGACCAAATTCAGTTAAAAATACTCACGCCCAAGTTAAAAGTATTGCCACAAATGCTGTCATTCATATATCTTACTGGGAATATTCGATTACGAAGTCACCTTTAACGAACATATATAAAGAGGTGTTTTTAGAAGTGTACTTTCTTACAGTTTACAACATTTACAAATACTCATATTAAAACCAAAGCACCTTCCATTTATTATATACGTACACACACCCCCAAAGAAAATATCCTGTAATGTCTAAACCAAAGGTTTGATACTCGTTCCTCGTCCTTTACATTTTTTGGATTTCCCTTTATTACCATTACAAAAATAAAATAATTTTATATATCCACATTAAAGGTTCTTGTTACCTCAGTCGACGGCTGGACTGGCCACAAAATTACCGAACACCTCATTTCAGATCTCAAGGGTAAACTTGACAAAATCTACGCGACTGCTGAGGCTGGAGCCGAATCGGCTGTACCAAACCCGGCTGAATTAGAGAAAGCAGGCGTGACTCTCTTTAAGGTAAATATACAACATTATTTTGATTCAAATTCTTCGAATAATTATAAATATTCTATTGTGATTAATAGCTCGACTCTTCGAAAAAATCCGGCGAAATGGTCAATGCCTTCAAGAATGGTATGCGCTTTTATTTCGTTCATTCGTGCTACACAAATCATACTAACAAAATCTTCAAATAGCTGACATCGTTGTTCTCATTCCACCAACAAAAAAGGACAAGGTAAGAATAAGACACATTATGTTCAATTTCTTTTTTGAACCTATTCATCCAAAACCCGTTTTATATAGATCCATCGTTCTAAGAACATGATCGAAGCATGCAAAGAGGCTGGTCTTAAAAAAATCATCTTGATCTCGATGGCAGCCGCCGATCTTACCGACGAACAGAAACAACCTCATCTTGCTGAATTCAAAAAGATAGAACTCGAAGCAAATCAAGCTGGATTCGATCATTTGCTTATTATGAGGTATACTTTTGATGTTTCATGCGTAAACTCGATTTTTTTCACTTAATTTATTTTGACATCTTATGTAATATTCAGAGTTAACTTCTACTTCGAAAATCTCCTCATCTATAAAAAACAAATACTTGATGGTAAACTCCCCCTCCCAATTAAGGATGGTAAATTGGCTCCGATTTCCATCAAAGATACCGCTGAAGCTGTTGGTGTCTTGGTCTCTAATCCAGATAAATTTAAAGAATATAGTGGACAATTGATTACTCTCACCGGTAACCGATTCAAATTTCTTTCTAATTTTAGATTTACCGTTAATTTTAAACCTTCGTATTTTATTTTTGCGTTTATTTGAAATTTAGGCAGTAAAGCTATCAATGGGCAAGAAATTGCCGAAGACATCAGTAAATGTATCAAGCATGAGCTCAAATTCGAAGATATATCAAACGAAGACGCACAAAAAATTCTAACTGATTTCAAGGTTAGTAAAATTACACAGTCTGCCCTTAACTTTGTTCGTTTCGCAATAACATCCGGTTCCCAAAAATAACAGAACCTCGACGAAAGTGAACACCACGTTCTCCTCGAATACTATGACTTGACTAAAGCTCATCGCGCGGCGTTCGTTACTGCGCATATCTTTAAAAACTTAGTTGGTCACAATCCTGCCTCACTCGGGGAATTCTGCAAGATTCACGAAGAACATCTCAAAGCCTAAATGTTTACTCTCAAGTCTACTTTAAATCTAAATCTTTTCTAATTAGCTTTTACCTGCTTATGATATCTAAAGAATAATTGTAAAATATAAGTCGTGCTCCAAGTTGAATTAAACAGAATTTACTTTAACTAAAAGGCTGCGTTAGAATTAATTTTAATTGAAAATAGTCATTTAACGCTACGTGACACAATTGAAAGTAAAAAAATATATTGCATTATACTTGACTTTACCATCTGATATTTAATACTAAAGAAATCGTGTGGTTTGCCAATTATTCATCACAAGAGATGATGTCACAGAAACTACGAACAACTAGAAGCAGCCAACAAATTACTTCAAAACGTGGATGAAATAGGTGTCTTGTTTATATTAAACTTATTTTTGCTAACTGAACAGATTAAAAATTTCTATATAGTATTATAGTATTATGAAACAATATGTAAAAATCAAACATTTTAATAAATGAAATACATGTACGATATACTCGCACAAGGTGCTGGTATCGGTATAAATTAATAATATATTTTTTTAAAATTTATATAATATATAAAATCTAAAGTCATTAAATATTTGTATTTTATAAAATATATAAACTTCTATCGGAGAGTTTTATAAATGTTATAAATGTATTTACTTTTTAATAAAGTTTAGACCTTTCCATAAAGATTAAAAAAACTATCGTTATGCATAAAAGTTTGTTTGGCATGAGGCTGCAAACATGTAGCGAGTAGCAACAACCACGTTTTAATTCAACGATCAACAACCACGTTTACCGTTACGTTTTATGTCAACGATCAACAAACACATTTACCGTTACGTTTTATGTCAACGATCAACAACTAGTGTTCCTATGAACTGAACCGAACCGGACTTTTGCCCGAGTTCGAGTTCGGTTCGAAATTCGAACCGAACTCGAACCGGACTTTGGCTTGAG